GAGACAGAAAGCGAGAAATCACCCTCTGGGGGTTGGCCACACCATAGTTTCTTCTCCTCCACTCTCCTCTCAGGGTCTTGGGCATGCATGCACATGCGCCTGGCATGAGTTTAAGCCACCGGATCTGGGACTCGAACCACGGTCAGCTACATGGGAGTCCAGCGACATAGCCATTAGCTAACTGCTGGTCCCAGTTGTTGCTGTTTTCATACCCGGGATCTGTCCAGCAGCCTGCTCTGGCCCCACAATGCCAGGCTCTGCACCTGCCATCCCTTTGCATGCCATTCTACTTTTTAGACACCGCAGCGTAGGAGTGCTAGGTATAGATCGCTTTCCCGGGGTAATAGAATCACGTGGGGATCCTACTTGTTAGAGTGAGTTAAGCAACAGAGTTCAATGTTTAGAGAAGAGGCCGCGCTTTTCCTAACTGTGCCTCTGGGCTCCTGCCAGTGGGGCAGGGATGCAGAGAGGCAGTGGGCGCCCCATCCGTCTGTCTGCACGCCCTCTCCTGGGTCCTCCCTGTGCAGGCAACTGCTGCTTGGCTCCGGCCCTTTTGGCTGGCCTTGCCTGTGTTAGGACAAATCCCTGTTTCATGTAGTTCATTTGAGTTCATCTTGGAATTTTTCAAGGCAACCAACCATTTTTCTGCTAAGAGACATGGAAACAAAGTTTAAACGTGTAGTTTATAAAAAGTGCCTTTCTTTTCTGTCAGCTGAAGCTGAGCACAGAGAACCTGTGAGAGGCCGAGTTAACTCTGAGTGCTCCGGCTGGAGTCTGGCTTCCCCACCGTGTGGCATTGACTACACCGGCTTGTCCATGCTTGTTGCTTGTCTCCATCCCCACCACACCGTCAGTGCTAGGGAGCAAGGGCTGCAGCTGCCTGGGGCTAGCAGGTGGGGTGGTAAAGGCACTGGACTCTCACATGGCCGACTGCAGTTCGAGTCCCGGCCCTTTCGGTTCGCTCTCTTACTTTTTGTTTCTCTCTGGTCAAATTAAAATAATAATAATAATAATAATAATAATAATAATAATAAATACAATTTTAAGAAGTTGCAGCTGCCTTGTTTGCAGTAGTGTCTCCAGGGGTTAGCACTGTGTCTTGCACATAGAGAGTATGCCCTAATTATTTGTTGGAAGACTGAACACAATACCCCCCAAATGGAAAGTGAAGGACCACATGTACTGACCATTCTGAATTGAAATGAACCAACTTTTCTAAATATAACTGTGCTGGCCAAATTAAATCGAAGCATTATTGAACTCACTTCGTGTGCTAGATGAACGGGATCTGTGCTGAGTCAGTCAATGTTACAAGTTTTTATTTAGTTTTTGACAGAGGGCATGTATTGTAAAAATGGCAAATATTACAGACATAAAATATGGAGAATGAAAACGTTTTAATTTCACTCTTCAGAAATTCCTGTTCTTTTTTTAAGATTTTTAATTTTGTTTTTTCATTAGTTTTTAAAGAAGCATTTTATTTTATTTCATTTTACTTAATATTATTATTATTTTGGAGAGGTTTTGCTATAGGATGCGTGCGCTCGCCAGAAAGACAGAGAGACAGAAAGCAAGAAATTATCCCCCAGGGGATGGTCACGCCGAAATCCCTTCTCCATTCTCCTCTCAGGATCTTAGGCACGCACGCACACTCACCTGGTTTGAGTTTAATCTACCAGGTCCGGGACTTGAACTGTGGTTGACTACATGAGAGTCCCGCGACATAGCCATTGTGCCAACTGTTGGTCCCATTATTATTATTTTTTAATTTGACCAGAGAGAGACACAGGGAGAGTGAGAGAGGAAAGAAAAGTGAGAAAGCTAGCCACCTGGTCCAGGACTCAAACCTCAGTTGGCCATATGGGAGTCCAATGCCTTAACCACCACGCCACCTGACAGCCCCCAGAAATTAGTATTCTTAACTACTTGGTGTATATTCCTCCAAATTTAAGCAAAAGTTTACTTATCAGATGCATTACTTTGCAGTTTTCTATTCTAAGATATTTTTCCTTAGAATGCACTTTATTTTTTTAGAGTATTCCATTTATGACTGGTCTGTGGCTTACCAGTCCTGTGCTGGTCATTTATTTATTTTTAAAAAAAAATTTTTTTTTTTTTGAGAGATTTTCACTGTAGGGCGCGTGCGTTCGCCAGACAGACAGAGAGAGACATAGAGACAGAAAGCGAGAAATCACCCCCCAGGGGGGATGGTCACGCCGCAATCCCTTCTCCTCCATCCTCCTCTCGGGATCTTGGGCACGCACGCACACGCGCCCAGCGTGAGTTTTAAGCCACCGGGTCCGGGACACGAACCGCGGTCGACTACGTGGGAGTCCAGCGACATAGCCATTACGCTAACTGCTGGTTCCCTAAAAAAAAAATAAAAAAAAAAAACCAACTATTTAATTTTGTTTGTTCTTCTTATTTTTTAAATTTGACCAAAGAGAGACAGAAAGAGAGGAAAAAGGAAAGCCAGAAAGCAAGCTGCCAGGTCTGGGACTCTAACTGCGGTTGGCCATGTGGGAATCCAGTGCCTTTAACCACCACACCACCTGCCAGCCCCTTTACTTTATATTTAATTGTTATAGGGCACATAACCAGAAGGTACATACACATGCTGGAGAGACACAGAGAAAAAAGAAGGAAAGCAAGGAAGCATCCTCCAGTGGGGCATGGTAATGCCACATGCCTGACATGTTTTTTAAGCTGTAGGTTCAGGGTTTTAACTGTGTGGTCAGCCTTGTGGGATCCAGCTGCTTTAACTGCCAGGCCATCGGTTGGCTCTCCTCTGTAATCTTAAAATTAAGTTACTGCATGGCTGGCAGGTAGCATCATGGTTAAGGGCACTGGGCTCCCACATGACCGACTGTGGTTCGACTCTTGGACCTGATGGCTTTCTTACTTTCTCTGTCTCTCTTATTCGGTTCCTCTTTGGTAAATTAAAATAAATAAATAAAGTTAAATAAAAGAATTCTTTTTTTTTAAAAAAGAAAAAAAAAGTTACTAAAGGGGAAAGCAGGTGGCATGGTGGTTAAGGTGCCGGAATCCCCACATGGCCGACTGCAATTTGAATCCAAATCTGGGAGCTTGCCCCTCCCTTCCCCCCCTTCCCCCCATCTCTCTCTGGTGAGTGCACATGCCCTATAGCAAATTTTTAAAAAAATGATAAAATAATTTAAAAAATTAAGTTTTATAATTTTTACCTAGGCTCCTATAATATGTGGGGTTTTAATACTTAATTTTAATTTAATTAATTAATTTATTTATTTTAATTTGACCAGAGAGGGACAGAGTGAGAGAGAGGGAAAGTGAGAAAGCTGCCAGGTTTGGACTTGAACTACTCAGCCATGTGGGAGCCCAGCACCCTTAACCACCACGCTACCGCTGGCCCCCCTGGTGTGTTCTTTAAGCTGCTGGGGCTGGGATGCAAACTGTTTAGTTGGCCATGTGGGATCTGGCTCCCTTAACCACCGAAGTGCTGGGACTAGCCCTAGAATACATTCTTCATCAATCTCCTTGCGTCTGCTCTTTGCCTTTCACTTTATTCTCTCCCTATACACTGGCGATATTAAAAGAATGCAATTATTATATACTTTTAATTCTATTTATCGTTATTCTTCAATTTTGACCAGAGAGAGACAGACAGAGAGAAAGGGAGAGTGAGAAAGCAAGCCGCCATGGTTGAAGTCCTAGACTTCAACCATGGTCTGCCATGTGGGAGTCCAGCACCTGCAGACCCTGAGAATGCAATTTTTTTTTTTTGAGAGATTTTTGCTTTGTTTATGCACACTTCCCAGGGAGACAGGCAGAAAGCGAGAAATCGCCTTCTAGGGGGATAGCCTTGCAGCAGTCTTCTCCTTCATTCTCTTCTTGGGATTTTGGACACACGTGTACATATGCCTGGTGTGAGTTTTAAGCTAGTGGGTCTGGGACTTGAACCATGGTCGACTACGTGGGAGTCCAGAAATGTAACCATTACGCCATCTGCTGGTCCCTTAAAAATTATTGAAGATGTTGAATTGCACCCGGAGTAAGATTTTGCCTTGTTTTTTTTTTTTTTTTGAGTTTTTGCTATAGGGCATGTGTACCTGCCAGACAGACAGAGAGAGACAGAGAGACAGAAAGTGAGAAATCACCCCCCAGGGAGGATGGCCATGCCTCAATCCCTTCTCCATTCTCCTCTCGGGATCTTGGGCATGCACACATACGTGCCCGGCATGAGTTTTAAGCCACTGGGTCCGGGACGCGAACCGTGGTCCACTACGTGGGAGTCCAGTGACATAGCCATTACACTAACTGCTGGTCCCCAAGATTTTGCCTTTTTAAAAGCTTTTTGCTTTAGATACCTTGGCCTTCCCAACCAACCACTTTTACTTTCCATAGATTGCTCTCACATGATTTTTCTTTTTCCTGGGAAAGGTATTCCTGTGGCCAGCTTTCCCACTCCTTGGGTTTCAGCTTCTGCCTCACTTCTTTAGAGATTTTTCCTGCCAGCATCCTCCTGTCCCCCAACCCTGCCGTTTTCTCAGTCTCAGTACCCTTTCTATTTCCTTTGTATTTATAGCTCTGACGGCAGTTTTATTTCTTACCCTCTTTTCCCTCTGACCCTCTCAGTAGATACTAACTCCATGAATCCCTAAATCCGAATTGTAGCCTAGTTCCTAGCCACATCACATCTCGATGTTATCGTAAAAGTCTTCTTAAAGTGATTCTGCTTTGATTTTTTTAAAAAAATAATTATTTAAATTTATTTATTTATTTATTTTTAATCTGACCAGGGAGGGACAGCAAGAGAGAGGGCAAATGAGAAAGGAAGCTGCTGGATTCAGGACTCGAACTGCAATTAACCATGTGAGAGTCCAGCACTCTTAACCACCATGCCACCTGCCGGCCCCTGTGCTTTGATTTTTTTTACAACATATGTCTAAAACTGTCTCATAGACACTATTTTATACTTTGAATCAGACACTAAAATTTCATTTATTTATTAATTTTTTTAGATTCCTGCTCCAAAGCGAGGAGAAATAGTAAGACAAATTGGCGATGCCTTGCGGGAGAAGATTCAAGTCCTAGGAAACCTGGTAAGTCGTGTTTGTAGTGTGTACTTCATCCACACAGTGGAGAGTGAGGCTGTCGTTTGTTTCCGTGTGGAAGATTATGGAGTTTTTAAAGAGAAGAATTTTTTCTTTTCTTTTTTTTTTTTTTTTTGAGAGGTTTTTGCTATAGGGCGCATGCGCTCGCCAGACAGACAGAGACAGAGAGACAGAAAGTGAGAAATTACCCCCCCAGGGGGAATGGCCACGCCGCAATCCCTTCTCCTCCATTCTCCTATCAGGATCTTGGGCACGCACGCACACGCGCCCGGCATGAGTTTCAAGCCACCGGGTCCAGGACTCAAACCACGGTCGACTACATGGGAGCCCAGCGACATAGCCATTACGCTAACTGCTGGTCCCAAAAGAGAAGAAATGTATACATTTCAGAAATTTTTTTTGGAGGAGACATTAACAAGATGGGCAGGAAAAAGGAAAGACAGTGATCAGGGGTTGAAATTCTTCAGAAAAATAAGAGCACGCTTTCTTCAGCCTATTACCTTCATAAAATAAAACAAAACGTGCTCTGTCTTCATCCTTGATGTTTAAAACATGAATTCTGATGGACAAACTCTGCTCAATTTTATTTTTTTTAATTTGTAGGTGTCTTTGGAGATGGGGAAAATCTTAGTGGAAGGTGTGGGCGAAGTTCAAGAGTACGTGGATATCTGTGATTACGCAGTTGGCTTGTCGCGGATGATTGGGGGACCCATCCTGCCTTCAGAGAGTAAGTGATGAAGTCGGCTACGCAGAGCTTTGTGCTCTGGTAATGGTGGTGCCGAGCAGCTCAATGCCGCGAGAACAGCTTCAGTCTTCCTAGGAAAGGCAGAGTAAAACAAGGGAAAGCGTTAGCTGCAGAAACTTTTGTTTTGTTTTATTTTTTTAAAAGGAATTATTTATTTATTTATTCATTATTTTTTAATTTCACCCGAGAGAGAGAAAGGAAAAGTGAGAAAGCAAGCTACTAGGTCTGGGACTCGAACCGCAGTTGGCCATGTCGGAGTTCAGTGCCTCAACCACCACACTACTTGCTGATGCAGGAACATGGGGGTGCAGAACAGGGGGTTCAGAGCAGTGGCTCATGGTTTCCTGTCTCACGCTCACGAAAAATTAGAGCTGCAGTCACAGAGAGGGTATGAGCCTCCAGAAAGAAGGGAGGGGCTGTGGAAAGTGGGTTGTCAGTGGAAAACTGAGCTGAGGGGTTCTACTTATGTCAGTTCCTGAAGCCCAGATGTTTAAGAGACCCCCTGTCCTGAGACGCAGAATGAAAACCCACAAACACTAGGCCAGGGAGTTGTCCCTCCCCTTTTTCTCCCCCCTCCTTCCCTCTGTCCCTCGTTCTCCCTCCTTTTTGTCCTTCCCAGGGTAGAACTATGTCGCAGGCCTCTTACACTGGCCACCCTGCTGGACTGGGAATCCACCCCGGTTTTCCATGTGGCTCCAGAACAGTGTCTTGGCAGTACCTGCCACGTCCCCCTTTGGCTACGGGATTTTTTTTTTTTTTTGATACGGGCCTGGGTGTTCCCTGGAGAAAAATGGAGATGGTGAAAAAGTGAGAAATCACCCCCGGGGGATGGCCGGGCTGCAATCCCTTCTCCATTCTCCTCTCAGGATTTTGGGCAGGCACGCACTCATGCCTGATACGTTTTTCAAGCTGCCAAGTTCAGGCCTCGAACTATGGAGTCAGCCAAGTGGGGTGCAGTGCCTTACGTGCCATGCCACCTGCTAGCAGCAGGGATTGTGTTAACCAGGAAGTAAGCCAGGGCCAAAGCTCAAGATGGAAGAACATGGCCTATTTGAAGAACGGTCTTGCTTGGGCACAGCTGGAAGCTGTGATAGGAGGGAACAGGGAAGCTGAGGAGAAGGTACTTTTCCTCTTGAGGGGTTTGGGTTTTATCCCGAGGGTAGAGGGATCCAGACTCAGAGGGTTGAGAGCAAGAGGCAGCATTATCAGGGAGGAGAGGGAGAGAGAAGGAGAGGAGGCAGGCCCTGCTGGAAGAGTGGTGTGGGCATGTCGCCTCTCCAGGGAGGGGAATGGCTGGACTACAGAGCTGCTCCTGCCAGGTCCTCAGTCCCAGCAGGCCTGTGAACATGGCCAGAAGCATTAACGTCTCTGGTGTGTTTTCCTAGTTGGCCTGTTTTTTTTTTTTTTAGAGAGGTTTTTTTGCTATAGGGCATGTGCACTTGTCAGAGAGAGACAGAGATGCAAACAGAGAGACAGAGAGTGAGAACTCACCCCAGGAGGATGACCACGCCACAATCCCTTCTATTCTCTTGGGATCTTGGGCACACACGCACAGTGCTTGTCGTGTTTTAAGCCACCGGGTCTAGGACTCAAACCGTGATCGACTACATGGGAGTCCAGCAACGTAACTTTATGCCATCTGTTGGTCCCCCTAGTTGGTCTGGTTTTAACCAGGTTCATGAACACCTGCACTCTTTTGCTCTGGGTCTTTACAGCCCCTGTGGGTTGGGTTATGGGTGATGTTAAAGCTTGTGTTTAAAATACAAATATTTCTGTGTTTTCAGTTTTCCTATAGTGAATGTAAAGGTTTCTGCAGTTAATTCATTGACCGTATATGTCATAATTAGAGTTTTATTTTCCCTCCCACAAATGAGTTTCCTAGTTTTGACTGTAGAGGTTGGCCCAAGGTCTTGGCAGGCACCAGGTCACAGGCCCAAGAGTCAACTCCTGTCTGGCCACGTGCTGTCCTTTGCGTCCCACCCCTGCTTGTCCCCCCATAAGTTTCCTTGTGTCCCACATGAGGCTGATACTGCTCTGAGCTACACAGAGTTCCGAGGGGGATCAGAGGGGGATCAGAGGACAGTGAGTAGTGTTAGGATCTGTAGGTAGTGAAGCGGTAGCCCTGGCTGGTGTGCGTGACGCCCCTGACGCTCCTGACGCTGTCCCACAGCTGCAGAACAGGATCCGCTGCGGGCACCTGTGCTCTCCTCTAGTCTGGGGCACCTTTGTTCTGAAAACGAAAGATAGCAGACTTTGTTGGCCTTTGTTTATTTGTTTCCTTTATGAGAGAAAGAAAAGGAAAGGGAGAGAGACAGAAATAGGTTTTTGTTTGTTTGTTTGTTTGTTTTTTTGAGAGGTTTTTGCTATAGGGCGCGTGTGCTCGTCAGAAAGACAGAGAGAGACAGAGAAACAGAAAGTAAGAAATCACCCCCCGGGGGGGATGGCCACACTGCAATCCCTTCTCCTCCATTCTCCTCTCAGGATCTTGGGCATGCATGCACATGCGCCCAGTGTGAGTTTAAGCCACTGGGTCCAAAACTTGAACTACATGGGAGTCCAGCGATGTAGCCATCATGCTATCTGCTGGTCCCAGAAATAGGTATTTTTTTAAAAGAATTATTTTATTTAATTTAACCAGAGAGGGACAGAGTAATAGAGAGAGAGAAAGTAAGAAAGTGAGAAAGCAAGCCAGCAAGCTGCCAGGTCAGTACTTGAACTGTGGTCTGCCACATGGGAGTCCAGCGCCCTTAACCACCATGTTACTTGCCGGCCCCCAGAAGTATTTTTGACAGGGTTTTGTGTGTTGTGGTTCTCCTGTGCCAAACTCTCATGTGGCTAGGATTACAGGTGTGTTCATGTTGGCCTTGGAACCAAACTCATGCCTCCTGCATGGCTTCCAGCTTCTGCCATGGCGCTGGTTCTGGCTTTGGTCTTACCAACTTGACTTGCATTAAATTATCATGCTTCAGTGTGTTCGTGTCTTTGTCCTCAGGACCTGGCCATGCGCTCATTGAACAGTGGAACCCTGTGGGCCTGGTTGGGATCATCACTGCGTTCAATTTCCCCGTGGCAGTGTACGGTTGGAACAACGCCATTGCGATGATCTGTGGGAACGTGTGTCTTTGGTAAGACGGGCGCACCTTCTCGTCCAATAGTAAGAAGGCAATAGAGGTAGCCATTTTCAAATACTATGAAAAGCACTTTAGGAATAGCGAAAAGTTTTCTACTGACCATCCTCTTTATTTGCGGAGAGATTTTTGCTTTGGGTGTATGCGCTCTTTGTGCTCACTGGAGAGACAGAGAGAGACAGAAAGTGAGAAATCGCGCCCTAGGGATGGCCATGCTGCAATCCCTTCTCCAGTCTCCTCTCAGGATTTTGGGCACGGGACTCAAACCATGGTTGACCACATGGGAGTCCAGCAACGTAACCATTATGCCATCTGCTGGTCCATATCCACTTTTATTTAACATATTAAGGCGTGCTAGCTGTATAATGATTACGAATTACTGTAGATTTTACCTTTAGTGATAATTATTTTTCCCACATAGCATTGTGCCCTCTTTAAAGCTCCATTTCCATCCCAAATAGATATTCTTTTTATTTATTTATTTATTTTTTGCTATAGGGCCCGTGTGCTTGCCGGAAAGACAGAGAGAGACAGAGATAGAAAGAAGTGAGAAATCACCATCCCAGGGAGGATGGTCACGCCACAATCTCTTCTCCTCCATTCTCTCGGGATCTTGAGCACAGACGCACACGCTCCCGGCATGAGTTTAAGCCACCAGGTTCGGGACTCAAACTGCGGTCAACTACATGAGAGTCCAGCGACATAGCCATTACACCAACTGCGGGTCCCCCAAATAGGTATTTTAGAAATCGACTGTGATACTACTACCCAGGGTGTAGTCCCTTCTCTAGGAAGGGACTTGAATTGCAGTTGACCATGTGGGAGTCCAGTGCCTTAACCATCATGTCACCTGCTGACCCTCATATTCTTTCTTTTATTTTTTATTTAAAAAAAATTTGGTATGGGACATGTTTACTTGGTGGAGAGAGACAGAGGGAGAGACACACACATAGAAAGTAAGAATCAGCCCCCCATCTCTCTCTCTCTCTTTTTTTATTTAATTTTTAAATTTATTCATCCATTTATTATTTTAATTCGACCAAAGAGAGACAGAGAGAGAGAGGGAGAGAGGAAGTGAGAAAGCAAGCCACCAGGTCCAGGACTTGAACTTGTGGTCAGCCATGTGGGAATGTCCAGCGCTTTAACCACCACGCCACCTGCTGGTCCCTCTCTCTCTCTTTTTTAAATGTCAGAATGTTTATTATTTCTATCACAGCCTCTTATGCTTTCTTGCAGGTGCTTTCTGGGCTGCAGTTTTCTTTTTTTTTATTTTTTTTTTTGTAGAGGTTTTTGCTTTAGGTCACGTGCGCTCGCCAGAAAGACAGAGAGAGACAGACAAAGCGAGAAATCACCCCCCAGGGGGGATGGCCACACCACAGTCCCTTCTCCTCCATTCTCCTCTCAGGATCTTGGACACTCACGCACACGCACCTGGTGTGAGTTTAAGTCGCTGGGTCTGGGACTCGAACCACAGTTGACTACATGAGAGTCCAACAACATAGCCATTATGCTAACTGCTGGTCCCTGGGCTGCAGCTTTCTGACCCTTCTGCACTTTGGAGGCAGTGCGGCCTTCTGGCCTGCGGCTTTCTGAGCAGGAGCCTCCTGGGCTGGGACCTTCTTGCCTCTGTCTGTTACCTTCTTCGCTGGCACTTTGGCGGCGGCAGCAGCAGCAGCAGCGGAGGCATCTGTACCCTTAGCAGCAGATGCTTTTTAGGGAGAAGCTTTCAGGAGAGCTGCCTTTGGAAGCTTCTTCATTCTTGATTATTCTGTTCCTCATTTTCTTTGCCTTCATGACTTTAAAATGATCAAAATCTGTCATCTTGGCTTTCCTCTCTCTGGCTTCAATCTTCTCGGCCCATCTCGTGGCTGCCCATTCTGTGCTGATACCCGCCTTCTGCCAGGCTTGGCACACGTACTTCTGGCGTGCACTATGTGGGAACTTGAGGATGAAGTCAGTGAGCTGCATGCATTTGAAAGGCATGGCCTGTGTCCTCACCTGAGTGCAAGTCCATCAACCAAAGCCCTGCTCTGCTCAGTAACATCTACAATTGCAACCAGCTTTCCGGCATGCGGGCCAGAGGAGACGTAGGCCACCCGGCCAACCTCCACAAAGCGCCTCAACGCCATGTTGCCGGCGTCCCGTGAGAAGCCCCTTCTCTTTTCTTCCATTCTCTTCTTGGGCTTTTGGGCATATACGCACATGCGCCAGGCAACTGTCTGTGTCCAGGACTCAAACTGCACAGTTGGCCATGTGGGATCCAGCTGCCTTAACCACCATGCCACTGCTTGGACTCATATTCATCACATTCCCCCAACAGAAAATAAAGTAAATAAGTGACAGGAAATAAACTTGTGTTGTTAACATCATTTTTTTTTTTTTTTAGTATATGTATTTTTTTTTATTGTCCAAGGGTATATTGTTCTCACCAGAGAGAGAGAAAGAGAGAGCATCCACTGCCTCCCGTGTGGCTTGGTCACGCTGCAATCCTTTCTCCTTCATTTCTCCATCCTGCCAGGATTTTGAGTGTGCACGCAGACATGCCCAGCCTGTTTTTTTAAGCTGCTGGGACTAGGATTCAGCCTGTGGTCAGCCATGTGGGATCTGGCTCCCTCTGCCTGGCACTTACTCACTGTGCTTTGGGGGCCAAGCTATGACATTCTTTTTCAAGTGTGCCACTTTTTTTTCAATAAAAATTTGATAGTGAACTCTCAAGTGATGCTGAGGCACTTGACCAGTGTTGCCACCGACACTTAAAAGTTTTCATCTCTGGGAACCAGCAGTTAGTATAATGACTATGTCACTGGACTCCCATGTAGTCGACCATGGTTTGTGTCCCGGACCTGGTGGCTTAAACTTACGCCGGGTGCATATGCGTGCGTGCCCAAGATCCTGAGAGGAGAATGGAGGAGATGGGATTGTGGTATGGCTATCCCCTCTGGGGGTGATTTCTTACTTTCTGTCTCTCTGTCTCTCTCTGTCTTTCTGGCAAGCGCATGCGCCCTATAGCAAAAACCTCTATAAAAAAAGGAAAAAAAAGTATATATTATAGAAGATAAACAGTTGCTTATTTTTAGCTTTCATGTGCGGTGCAGACCCTAAGAGAATCAGGAGACTTAGTTTAGACCCTTATTACATCTGTTGCATTAGTAATTTACTGAGTGTTAAAGGCAGTACTCAATGGGCCAGCAGGTGGTGGGTGGTTAAGGCACTGGACTCCCACATAGCCAACTGCACTTTGACACCTGGACCTGCTGCTGGCTTAATTTCTCATCTTCTCTCTTTTTGTGTCTCTGTCTTGTTAGCATGCATACCCTATAGCAAAATTAAAAATAATAAGATTAAATAAATCATTCTTTTATTAAAAATGCAGTGCTCAGTTGAGTGTACTCAAAAACTATAAAACAGACCAGAGTTGAGGAGATCAATGATTTGGCATTTGGTTGTCCAAAGGACCCACGCTCTGCAGCATTGCAATCCAAAAAGGCTAGTTTCAGAGTCTTCCTCAGCTCTTAAAACCCTCCAATGGACATTTTGTGAATGCAGCCCATTGATAGATTTCTGCTTCCCTCAGTGGCCATGATTGGTCAATGTGGATGTTACAATTCCTGTGACCTCTGCAGTGAGCAGGGTCAGAATTACTTGGTGCCAATTTTTTTTTTTTTTTTGAGAGGTTTTCGCTATAGGGCGCGTGCGTTCGCCAGACAGAGAGAGAGAGAGAAACAGAGAGACAGAAAGTGAGAAATCACCCCCCCAGAGGGGATGGTCACGCCGCAATCCCTTCTCCTCCATTCTTCTCTAGGGATCTTGGGCACACACACACACGCGCCCGGCGTGAGTTTTAAGCCACTGGGTCCGGGACACGAACCGTGGTCGACTACGTGGGAGTCCAGCGACATAGCCATTATGCTAACTGCTGGTTCCTGTGCCATTTTTTTTCTTTTTAAGATTTATTTATTTATTTATTTAACTTTATGTTTTATACTTCTTATTTTAGTTTGGCCAGAGAGAGACAAAGGGAAAGCGAGAAAGCAAGCTGCCAGGTCTGGAACTTGAACCATGGTTAGCCATGCGGGAGTCTAGTGCCTTAACCACCATGCCACCACCTGTTGGTCCTGCTTGCTACCATTTTTGTGTTCATAAAAATGTTGTAGCTCCTGGGGACCAGCAAGTGGCGTGATGGTTAAGGTGCTGGACACTCCCACATGGCTGGCCATGGTTTGCGCCAACCATGGTTTTAGTCCCAGACCTGGTGATTTGCTTTCCACTTTCCTTTTCTTTCTCTGGTCAAATTTAAAAATAAAATAAAATTAAATAAAAAACTTTAAAAAAAAAAAAAAAAAAATGTTGTAGCTCCTTAGATCCCAGAGGTGCCAGGCTGAAAGATAGATTTCTATTTCGGTTACTAGAGTCCTGTGTTAGTTGTTCAGCTGGACAGAGCTTTTTCTCACGTATTTTTGCTTCTGCTCGGTAATGAAGTGTTCATAGTTTCCATCAAGTTAAGTTTCTTTCTTTTATCCTCTTAAGGAAAGGAGCTCCAACAACTTCCCTCATCAGCGTGGCTGTCACAAAGTAAGTATGTGTGTTTTTCTTTTTCCTGGGTATGAAAGTATCTTGAAAGAGTGGTTGGTAGGCACTGTATTATTATTTTTTTTAGTTATCAATGGATGCGTGCTTTGCCAGAGAGACAGAGAGACAGAGAGACAGAGAGAGGGGAAGGGAAGGGGAAAAGCATTCCAATGGGGTATGGTCACGCTGTGACCCCTTCTATGCTTCCTCCCTGTCAGGACCTTGGGCACACATGCACAGATGCTCGGTGTGTTTCAGGCTCGTGGGGCTGGCTTTGAACCATGCTCAGCCTTGTGTGATCCAGAGCCCTTAACCACTACGTGACAGGTTTGGCCCACAACTCTGAGTTTTTAGTCCAGTGTGAAAATGTCATGTTTATTTAAACATGGAATCTGGACATCCTCTTTCTCTTTTGGTTATAATAACATTTGTATATAATTTGCAGTTTGCAGAGCTTTTAGAGCCATATAATTTAAATTAACTTGGTGGAAATTTGCCAGATATTGACAGGGTTGAACTTGAGCTGTTACAGGATTTTTTTTTTTTTTTCTTTTATAACTTGGTAAGTGAAAACATCTCCAGTGTTTGTGGAGAGGAAATATCCTTATAGTTTAGGGCCATATTTTATAACCATTCAACAAATGAATGGTTTTGTGGTTACATTTCTACCCATTGGATTTTTAAATAATTATTTATTTAACTTTATTAATTATTATTATTTTAAAATTTGCAATACAGGGGCCAGCAGATGGTGTAATGGCTACATTGCTGGACTCCAATGTAGTCAACCAGGGTTCGAGTCCTGGACCTGGTGGTTTAAACTTACACTGGGTGTATGTGTATGTGTACCCAAGATCCCAAGAGGAGAATAGAGGAGAAGGGATTGTGACATGGCCATCCCCCTGGGGTGGTGGTGGTGGTGATTTCTTGCTTTCTGTCTCTCTGTCTCTCTCTGTCTTTTTGGTGAGTACATGTACCTTATAGCAAAAAATACAAAAACAGAAAACAATAAATTTGCAATGTGACATGTGTATTCACCAGAGAGAAACAGAGAGAGAGAAAGAGGGAAAGTGAGAAAGCAAGCCACCAGGTTTGGGACTCTAATCACAGTTGACCATGTGGAATTCCAGTGCCTTAACCACCATGCCACCTGCCGGCCTGCATTGAATACTTTTATTGCTTTTAAAAAAATGTATTAAAAATTGCTATAGGGCACATGTGCCCACCAGAGAGAAACAGAAAGAGAGAACGTGAGAAAGTGAGCCTGGGAACCAGCAGTTAGTGTAATGTCTATTTCGCTGGACTCCCACGTAGTCGACCGCGGTTCGCGTCCCGGACCCGGTGGCTTAAAACTCACGCTGGGCGCATGTGCGTGTGTGCCCAAGATCCTGAGAGGAGAATGGAGGAGAAGGGATTGCGTGACCATCCCTCCTGGGGGGTGATTTCTCGCTTTCTGTCTCTCTGTCTCTTTGTCTTTCTGGAGAGCGCAAGCACCCTATAGCGAAAACCTCTCCAAAAAAAAAAGAAAGTGAGCCTCCAGGTTTAGGACTCGAACTGCAGTTGGCCACATAGGAGTCCAGTGCCCTAACTACCATGCCACCTGCTGGCCCCTATTTTTATTGCTTTTGCTTAATACACTTAACAAAACAGAACTGGTCATTATTACTAATTCAAGAGTCATCTAACTATTTTATATGAACCATGTTTTTTGGTTTAAAAATTATGAGTGTTCTATTTAGAAAAACTTGAGAATTTAACATCTCTAATTAGGCCATAAAAATCAGTGCTACTAATTTATTATACTGGAATTTGGAAGATGACTAGAATGGGTACCTTCCCACATAGGGTGCTGATGCACCCTTAATGTTCTGTCAATTGCATGGTCTACATTCTGATTTAGGCATTGCCGGCAGACAGCCTGTGGTAGAGTTCGCTCGTAAGAGGGTTCTTAATCTTAGGAGATCTGTGAGCTGCAGGGGTTTGGGAATGGAAAAGTGGGCTGAGAGAGAAGGAGTTTGCATTAATATTAAATTGAGGGAATATGTGATTGATGAATCAATATCCTTTAAGGCAGTGGTGTTCAAATTAAATTTTAAGTAGAACACGTAAAAGTGAAGAGATTTCTCAGGTAATTAAAATTTTATTTTTTTTAACAGAACAGTTAATGTAGACGTAGTGAACTGCCCTGCTGGTGGTTGTTAAATAGCTGGTTAAAAAAAAAAATTCTTCAATAGTTTGAAGAGACTGAAATGTTCGCGTAGTAATTATTAGGTCATCAGAAAAGTCATGATGCATTTTGGATAGAAAAACAGAAAACTATGTCATGACTTTTCTGATAGCCCAATAAATATGCTGGTTGATAGTTTTCAGAGGATTGAAAATATTCTCTTATTTTATAATGGAACACAATATGTAAAATGATGGCAGATTTTGCTGGAATTAACCAACGGTGGGCCAGTGTTTACTGGGAGGTTGGGAGGTCTATGTAGCTTCTACTGAATGATCAGACTCATTAGATGGCCACAGGCCACATACGGTAGGTCCTTCTATCTATTTAGAAGGATGTAGGGTAGGGGCCAGCTGAGGGAACTAGATCCAGCATGGATGACTGTTTTAAAAAAAAAAAAAAAAAAAAAATGTTGTAGCTCCTTAGATCCCAGAGGTGCCAGGCTGAAAGATAGATTTCTATTTCGGTTACTAGAGTCCTGTGTTAGTTGTTCAGCTGGACAGAGCTTTTTCTCACGTATTTTTGCTTCTGCTCGGTAATGAAGTGTTCATAGTTTCCATCAAGTTAAGTTTCTTTCTTTTATCCTCTTAAGGAAAGGAGCTCCAACAACTTCCCTCATCAGCGTGGCTGTCACAAAGTAAGTATGTGTGTTTTTCTTTTTCCTGGGTATGAAAGTATCTTGAAAGAGTGGTTGGTAGGCACTGTATTATTATTTTTTTTAGTTATCAATGGATGCGTGCTTTGCCAGAGAGACAGAGAGACAGAGAGACAGAGAGAGGGGAAGGGAAGGGGAAAAGCATTCCAATGGGGTATGGTCACGCTGTGACCCCTTCTATGCTTCCTCCCTGTCAGGACCTTGGGCACACATGCACAGATGCTCGGTGTGTTTCAGGCTCGTGGGGCTGGCTTTGAACCATGCTCAGCCTTGTGTGATCCAGAGCCCTTAACCACTACGTGACAGGTTTGGCCCACAACTCTGAGTTTTTAGTCCAGTGTGAAAATGTCATGTTTATTTAAACATGGAATCTGGACATCCTCTTTCTCTTTTGGTTATAATAACATTTGTATATAATTTGCAGTTTGCAGAGCTTTTAGAGCCATATAATTTAAATTAACTTGGTGGAAATTTGCCAGATATTGACAGGGTTGAACTTGAGCTGTTACAGGATTTTTTTTTTTTTTTCTTTTATAACTTGGTAAGTGAAAACATCTCCAGTGTTTGTGGAGAGGAAATATCCTTATAGTTTAGGGCCATATTTTATAACCATTCAACAAATGAATGGTTTTGTGGTTACATTTCTACCCATTGGATTTTTAAATAATTATTTATTTAACTTTATTAATTATTATTATTTTAAAATTTGCAATACAGGGGCCAGCAGATGGTGTAATGGCTACATTGCTGGACTCCAATGTAGTCAACCAGGGTTCGAGTCCTGGACCTGGTGGTTTAAACTTACACTGGGTGTATGTGTATGTGTACCCAAGATCCCAAGAGGAGAATAGAGGAGAAGGGATTGTGACATGGCCATCCCCCTGGGGTGGTGGTGGTGGTGATTTCTTGCTTTCTGTCTCTCTGTCTCTCTCTGTCTTTTTGGTGAGTACATGTACCTTATAGCAAAAAATACAAAAACAGAAAACAATAAATTTGCAATGTGACATGTGTATTCACCAGAGAGAAACAGAGAGAGAGAAAGAGGGAAAGTGAGAAAGCAAGCCACCAGGTTTGGGACTCTAATCACAGTTGACCATGTGGAATTCCAGTGCCTTAACCACCATGCCACCTGCCGGCCTGCATTGAATACTTTTATTGCTTTTAAAAAAATGTATTAAAAATTGCTATAGGGCACATGTGCCCACCAGAGAGAAACAGAAAGAGAGAACGTGAGAAAGTGAGCCTGGGAACCAGCAGTTAGTGTAATGTCTATTTCGCTGGACTCCCACGTAGTCGACCGCGGTTCGCGTCCCGGACCCGGTGGCTTAAAACTCACGCTGGGCGCATGTGCGTGTGTGCCCAAGATCCTGAGAGGAGAATGGAGGAGAAGGGATTGCGTGACCATCCCTCCTGGGGGGTGATTTCTCGCTTTCTGTCTCTCTGTCTCTTTGTCTTTCTGGAGAGCGCAAGCACCCTATAGCGAAAACCTCTCCAAAAAAAAAAGAAAGTGAGCCTCCAGGTTTAGGACTCGAACTGCAGTTGGCCACATAGGAGTCCAGTGCCCTAACTACCATGCCACCTGCTGGCCCCTATTTTTATTGCTTTTGCTTAATACACTTAACAAAACAGAACTGGTCATTATTACTAATTCAAGAGTCATCTAACTATTTTATATGAACCATGTTTTTTGGTTTAAAAATTATGAGTGTTCTATTTAGAAAAACTTGAGAATTTAACATCTCTAATTAGGCCATAAAAATCAGTGCTACTAATTTATTATACTGGAATTTGGAAGATGACTAGAATGGGTACCTTCCCACATAGGGTGCTGATGCACCCTTAATGTTCTGTCAATTGCATGGTCTACATTCTGATTTAGGCATTGCCGGCAGACAGCCTGTGGTAGAGTTCGCTCGTAAGAGGGTTCTTAATCTTAGGAGATCTGTGAGCTGCAGGGGTTTGGGAATGGAAAAGTGGGCTGAGAGAGAAGGAGTTTGCATTAATATTAAATTGAGGGAATATGTGATTGATGAATCAATATCCTTTAAGGCAGTGGTGTTCAAATTAAATTTTAAGTAGAACACGTAAAAGTGAAGAGATTTCTCAGGTAATTAAAATTTTATTTTTTTTAACAGAACAGTTAATGTAGACGTAGTGAACTGCCCTGCTGGTGGTTGTTAAATAGCTGGTTAAAAAAAAAAATTCTTCAATAGTTTGAAGAGACTGAAATGTTCGCGTAGTAATTATTAGGTCATCAGAAAAGTCATGATGCATTTTGGATAGAAAAACAGAAAACTATGTCATGACTTTTCTGATAGCCCAATAAATATGCTGGTTGATAGTTTTCAGAGGATTGAAAATATTCTCTTATTTTATAATGGAACACAATATGTAAAATGATGGCAGATTTTGCTGGAATTAACCAACGGTGGGCCAGTGTTTACTGGGAGGTTGGGAGGTCTATGTAGCTTCTACTGAATGATCAGACTCATTAGATGGCCACAGGCCACATACGGTAGGTCCTTCTATCTATTTAGAAGGATGTAGGGTAGGGGCCAGCTGAGGGAACTAGATCCAGCATGGATGACTGTGGTTCAAATCTCAGCCCCAGCAGCTTGAAAACATACTGGCCACACCCAAATCCTGACAGGATGGAGCCAATGAAGTGATTGTGGCGTGACCATGCCCCATTGGGGGGTGCTTTCTCCCCCTTGCTTTTTCTGTCTCTCTGTTTCTCTCTGGCAAGTAAAATATAAATTTATTTAAAAAATAAAGACATAGGACAGGAGCATAATTTGCTGGCAGGTTCATATCGGGTATTCTTTTTCAGCCAGTGTCCTTGCAGCTGTCATGGTGCCAGAAGATGGAGCTCTACATTGGACAGGGAGAGGGTTATTCTGGTTTAAAAGCCTAATGACCCACAGGAGCCAAATTTCTTTGTAACAGTTCTGTAGGCCTAGCTTTCAGATTCTACAAGCGACATTTAGTTATGTGTCACTGTACTCAGGGAAGGCCAGCTAGCATGCCGTTCCTATTTATAGCTCACAGATAGTTATTCTAGTTCAGATGGAGCTGATCATTTAGGGTCATTTTTACCATGAGCCATGGGTCTAAGTAACTTTGCTAACACGCTGACATTTATCAGATGATCTGGGAAACAGAGTTTCTACACAAGAGTAGCTTGTCATGCTTTAGGGGAAAGTGTTTTGTTAACCCACAGGCACAAAGTAAAATCTCTGCCATTAATTAAGGAGAGTACAGCCTACCGTGCAGGTGAGCTGTACACCTAAAGTCCTTGGAAGAAAATGTGCAACCTGAAGCCCAGTCTCGGACATGGCACCTGCAGTGCGCAGTCCTTGGCGGGATCCTGAAATGGATGGGAAGACGAAAACAGATGTAAAGGATGTTTTGGGGGACAATTGGGGAACTTAAGTATTACAACATTACCTTTTCTATGGAAGTGGGTTTGGGATTTGGATCTTTTTTGAATTTTAACAAGGTGGAAAATAGCCAGCAAGTTGGGATGATTGACAAGGGAGAACCTTTGCTCTGTTTGTCCTCTGGAAACACAAAGGAGTAGAAAAATCCTCTTTTAGGGAAGCTAGAATTACTTGAGGCATTATTTAAAACTCAAAATCAATTTTAAGTGATTTAAATAGCGTTAAAGTATTTCTCATCGTAACAGTGATACCTTGAATTATAGGAGAAAAAAACCTAGCCTGATATTTCCTGACCAAGAGAGTTTGGTGTGAAGCCAGTAGACAGCAGTTCTGAGCTCTCAAGGGTTCTTCAGGGCAGGTCCAGCTCTGTCTGCTTTATCACCTTGGTCCTTCCTCCATGAGAGGGAGAGGCAGAGAGAGAAAGCCATCCCCAACAGGGTCCCCATGCCACGATCCACCCCATCTCAGCTGGACTGGGTCACAGGTATGCACACGCATGGACGTCGTGCTCGGGAGGTCCTGGATGCAAACCTGGTACCTTTCCCATGGGTCCCGTTGCATTACTACTAAACCACCTCCTGGCTCTTTCTTGGCCTTTCCTTGGGTGTTGAGGGTTCTCTTCCTATTTCCTGTCGTATCCATTACCTCTTCTCTAAATGACCCCTGTTTGGCAAAGATATGGTAAATCTCATTTGCAAGGGACCAGCAGGTGGCATGGTGGTTGAGGTACTGGACTCCCACATGGCCAACAGTCGTTCGAGTCCTGGACCCGGCAGCTTACTTTTTCACTTTCTCTCTCTCTGGTGAGCACAAGTGGCCTATAGCATAATTAATTAATTAAAATTAAAATAAATAACTCTTAAAAAATCTCATTTGTGAATGGAGACTATGACTAATTTCCTTCATCGTCCCAGGTCTTATTATTTTTTCTTTCTTTTAAATAATTATTTATTTTGTTTTATTTATTATTATTATTATTATTATTATTTTAATTTGACAAAAGAAAGATAGTGAGAGGAAAAGTGAGAAAGCAAGCCTCCAGGTCTGGTACTCAAACCACACTTGGCCATGTGAGAGTCTAGAGCCTTAACCACTATACTACCTGCCAGACCCAAGTCTTATTATTTTATTTTTATTTTTTATGGAGAGGTTTTTTTCTATAGGGCGTGTGCGCTCGCCAGACAGACAGAGAGAAACATAGAGACAGAAAGCGAGAAATCACCCCCCAGGGGGGATGGCCACACCACAATCCCTTCTCCTCCATTCTCCTCTCGGGATCTTGGGCATGCATGCACACGTGCCCGGCGTGAGTTTTAAGCCACCGGGTCCGGGACGCGAACCGCGGTCGACTACGTGGGAGTCCAGCGACATAGCCATTACACTAACTGCTGGTTCCCTTATTATTATTTTTTTAATTTCCTTTTTACCTCTTAGCCATCATTTTTTTTCTTTAAATGAGAGGTTTTGCTATAGGGCATGCACGCTTGTGGAGAGACGGAAAGACAGAAAGCAAGAAATCACCCCCTGGGGGTATGATCATGCTGCAGTTCCTTCTCCATTCTCCTTTTGGGATTCTGGGGATGCGTGCACATGTGTATGGCATGAGTTTTAAGCTGCCAGGGCTGAGACAAACCATTGTCGACAACGTGGGAGTCCAGCGTTGGGAGTCCATAACCATTACGCGTTTGCTGGTCCCTCTATTAGCTGTCATTTGAATGGATTGTGATCAGTCTGCCATCTTGAACCAGATATATTTTCTCTCTTCATAATTTGAAACAATGAGATTTGAACTGTCTGCATTATGCTTCATGTCTCCTACTTATGGTCTGTGTGTTTTTCTTCAAGAATCTTTTAGGAAAGACAAATCTGCTGTATTTGAAATCCCCACTCTAGCACATGAGGAGAAATCCAGATTTGAATGTTTGAGGGGTAGGAAAGAAATTTCAGAACAGAGAATCAGGGCCAGCTCCATGGCTCAGTAGCAATGGCTGCTCAAGGATCACACTGGATCCTACATGGCGGCCATGGGTGGAGTCCCTTTTTTGGTCAATCTGAAAAATGCCAGCTTCTATGTGCATGAGTACCCAGGATCTGAGGGACTGTAGCATGTCTAGACCTTGCGGAGGGTGCTTCTTTCCCTCCTCCCTTCTTTCTTTTCTCTCTCGATGCCACAATCCTCCAGCCTCCGGTAGTTCTCCAGTAGTTTTTGCCATAGGGCAGGTGCCACCTTGCCAGGTTCCTTTTTCTCTCTCTCTCTCTAGTGCAGACACATACTCTCATGAATAAAAGAAAGTTAAAAAAAAAAAGAAAAGAAGTTGGAATAAAGGAAAATAAAAAGAATCAGGTGGTTGGAATTCATTCCTTATTTTTCAAAAACCATGTAAAAAAATTAAATTGTAGGGCCAGCAGGTGACACGGTGGTTAAGGGTACTGGACTGCCACATGGCCGACTGTTGTTCAAGCCCTAGACCTGGTAGCTTGCTTTCTCACTTTCCTTAGTCTCTTACTCTGTCCCTCTCGGGTCAAATTAAAATAAATAAATAAATAAATAAATAAATAAGGTCAAATAAAATAATTATTTAAAAATAAAATTAAATCGTGACTCAGTGATTGCTTTTTCCCCCCCTAGGATAATAGCCAAGGTTCTGGAGGACAACAAACTGCCCGGGGCCATTTGTTCCTTGACTTGCGGTGGAGCGGATATCGGGTAGGTTGGGAGTGAGAGTATCCGAGAAATGACCAATGAGAATTATCTTCACTAGAATAATGAAACCTAGTACAGCTAGGGTGATGAGAATGGTTCTTTGAGAGCATTATTATGGACCTTTTAGGGCTCTTATTTATTAATACATGACCTCCATTGGAGAATGAGTAAAGATGTCTTTTAATTGCCCAGAGCATCTATTGATAGGGTGGTTATGCCTTGAAATAACAAACTGCCCTGATGACTGGCAGCTCCTCATTTCCCGATACTTAGTTTCTAAAGGTATTTAATAATACAGGAAAGCGTTTATGGAATTGTAGGCTGGGATCTCGTTTCCAAGTGAGAACAGAATCTGCTGTCTGAATTCTTTAGCTGACCAAAAAAAAGTCATGGTTTTTTATTTTATTTTTAAATTTATGTTATATGTTTTTATTTGATTTTAAGACTTTTGTTCTAGGGTACGTATACTTTCCAGAGACCAAGAGAAGGGAAGTGAGAAATCACCCCTTGCTCCAAGGGGTGATGGCCATACCACAATCTCTGCTCCAGTCTCCTCTTGCGATTTTGGGCATGCACACACATGTGCCTGGCCTGATTTTTAAGCTACCAGGTCCAGGACTCAAACCGTGGTCAGCCATATGGAAGTCCAGCACCTCGACCACTATGCCACCTCCTGGCTCCTATTTATTTATTTCTAAAATATCCATATAATTACTATGCCAATACATTCTCCCTCCTCAAGTAGACAGTCAGGTTCTTAGACTATCCACAGTGTTGTACAGGCACTGTCACTACCTCATTGCAGACACTGAGCATCTCAGAAAGCGACTCCATACTCTTCGACAGTCACTTCTCATCCCCTTCCATCCCCCTTTCCTGGCAACCACTAATGTGCTTTCTGATTCTATGGAGCTGCCCATTCAGGACATTTCGTCTAAATAGAATCAGAGGTTGCCTTTTGTGTCTGGCTTTTTTTTTTTTTTTTAATTTTGCCAGAGGATATGTTTGCTTGCCTGAGAGAGAGAGCTTAGAGAGTGAGAAAGTACCCTCCGAGAGGCCTGGTCACACTGCAATCCCCTTTCCTTCATGTCTCCCTCCTTCCCGGATTGTGGGTATGCTTGCACACATGTCTGGCTTGTTTTTCAAGCTGTCCGATCTGGGACTTCAACCATGCACTTGGCCAGGTGGAATCCAGCCACCTCAATCACCAGGCCAGGGGCTGGCCCGTATTTGGCTTCTTAGCATAATGTCAGAACCTTTATAAGCTGGAACTAACCATAATTGACCTGTGATGACAGCTGAGGTTATTACCAGCTTAGGTTCTGATGAGGGTGCGTTTCCTAGCAGTGAAGTCTTATCATCCATATAGATGTGGTTAAAATGCTAGTCTCTCTCCAATACTTCCACCATACTTACATCTATTTGTTGAGCAATCTCACAAAAGATTTATTTTTCATATAAATTAGAAAATATTAGGAACTCTAGCTCCCACATACTATACAGTGCATAGTGTTATTTAAAATGTATTGCATTCTTTGACTTAACCGCTCGGTACTTGAACACTCGGTCCTTCATGTTGACCTTGGAGAAGTTCAGGTGATTGTCATGGTGTTTATAAAAGGGCGTTAAACAGCAGCCGCCTTGGGGATCAGTGTTAAGTTTGTTGGTTGAACCTGGGAGGCCTACCTCATTAATCTAGTCGAGCTGTCCGGCCACCTTGGACTACTGCTGTGGTTGCTCTGTTTGGTTACCTCAGACTCTTCGAAGCGCTATGAACCAAGAGGGTCAATTCAATAGTGTATGATCCACATCCCTTAGAAACAACTAGAAATCTCAATACAGCCATCGTAAGTCAGCTCGCATGAGGGATAATTTAAGATGTTTTCCTACTTTCTAAAGGAATTATGCAGTTTTGGATAAGTGTTTACAAAATGCCTGAAGTCCTCGATGAGGAAACATCATAGTATCTCCTCACCCACTCAGTACAAGAAGGACTTTCTGCTTTCACTAGTGACTTCTAGGGGATTTCTCTCTGTAAATTGTTCCCAGAGCAGGTTAGCCTGTTCTACTGTATGGTTCTGTATGGTTTTGTGAAAAATGTGTTTCCTTGTTCTGAAGACCTTCTCTTGCTCCCTGGGATGGCCGTCCCTGTAGCTTTGACTGGCTACCTTTTTAAGAAAACACCAGTGTTTTCTTGCCAGGGACCATTAGGTGTTGCCATTCATTGCTGGGTTTCTGGAGTTGGGTGACCGTGTCTGTTCCCCTGCAGCACAGCAATGGCCAAAGATAAGCGAGTGAACCTGCTGTCCTTCACTGGGAGCACTCAGGTGGGAAAACAGGTGGCCCTTTTGGTGCAGGAGAGGTTTGGTAAGTGTTGGCTTTCTAAACGGTTTTAATTCCCACAGAAGTACAAATGTGAAATCTCAAAGTTGGTTTTTAACTTCCTCAATACTTACCATGCAAAGACAGCCATATTTATTTGGATGTCCAAAGGAAAGGAAAGAACACAGTAATTAGCCACTGGATATTAATGAAATCTCAAATTTAATCACATAATTTGAGGGATCAGCAGACGGCATATTGGTAACGTTGTGGGACTCCCATGTAGTCAACCGCAGTTCGAGTCCCAGATCCAGTGGCTTAAAACTCATGCCAGGCGTGTGTGCATGCGTGCCTAAGATCCTTAGAGGAGAATGAGAAGGAATTGTGGTGTGGCCATTCCCCCGGGGGGGGTGATTTCTTGATTTCTGTGTCTGTCTCTCCAGTACTCACTCTCTCCAGTACTCACATGCACCCTGTAGCAAAAATCTGTCAAAAAAAAATCACGTATTTTGAAAAGGATGTCATTTTATTTTTAAATGACTATAGTAGAATTACATAAAATCATTTTTTAAATTCTAGCAGACCTGTTTGATAAATTAAAAAGAGAAAAATCACAATTTAAATAAGACCAATAATATGGGACCTAGAATGAGAGTGGGATAGAAGACTTATATCTGATCTTTTCTTATTTATATTTCGTATGTACATGATTAAAAAGAGTTGCACAAATACAGTTTTGCAGACTGTACTTTATGGCTATCTTAAGAAGTTTTCAAGGAAAATATTCATCAATTTTTGAGTTTAGACTAACCAACCTCTGCATAAGATGAGACTTGACTAGTTAATCCGCTAGCCTTTGTAGTATACAGGCATTGCCCCACACCACGTTGTAGAGGGCATGTGTGCTCACCAGAGGAGGGGGAGAGAAAAGGAGAAAGCACCCCACAGTCATGCCAAAATTCTCTCTTCCATTTCTTTACCCCGTCAGAGGTTTAGGCATGCACGTATATGCACACAGTGTGTTTCTTTAGCTACTTGGGCTGGGAGCCATGTGAGATCTGTCTCCCTTAACCACCAGGCCATAGTACTGGCTTATCGATTTCTATTTTTTTTTTATTTTTTTGAGAGGTTTTTGCTATAGGGCACGTGTGCTCACCGGAAAGACAGAGAGAGACAGAGAGACAGAAAGTAAGAAATCACCCCCCAGGGGGGATGGTCACGCCGCATTCCCTTCTCCTCCATTCTCCTCTCCTGATCTTGGGCATGCAACACACACGCGTCCGGTGTGAGTTTAAGTCACCGGGTCCGAAACTCAAACCACAGTTGACTACATGGGAGTCCAGCGACATAGCCATTATGCCAACTGCTGGTCCCCCCAGTATTGCTTTTAAAAAGCGAATTTATAGAGGCTAGCCAGTGGTGTGGTGGTTAACGTGGCTGGATTCCACATGGCTGACTGCACAGTTTGAGTCTCGGATGTGGTAGCTTGAGAAACACACTGGATATGTGTGCACACATGCCTAAAATCCTGAAAGGAAGGAAAAATGGAGGAGAAAGGTTTGCAGTGTGACCATTCTACATGACAGTGCTCCCTTGCTATTCTTTTCCTCTCTGGTGAGCACACACATCTTCTGGAAAAAAATGAAAAAACTTATTAAAAAAAATTATTAGAGCTAATAAGTGAGGCCAACAAGTTTGCAGAATACATCAGCACACAAAACTTGATTATATTATTTATTACTTATTTATTTATTAGAATTATTTATTTATTATTATTTTTCAGCTTTGTCTAGAGAGAGAGAAAGAGAGAGAGAGAAGAGCAAGCCACCAGGTCTGGGACTCAAACTGCTGTCAGCTGTGTGGAAGTCCAGCGCCTTTAACCACCATGCCACCTGCCAGCCCTCGTATTGTTTATTTTTTAAAAACTTTATTTGGAACCAGCAGATGACAGAATGGTTCTGTTACTGGACTCCCATGTAGTCGCGGTTCGAGTCCCAGACCCGGTGGCTTAAAAAACTCACATCAGGCGCATGTATGTGTGTGTCGAAAATCCTGAAAGAACGGAAGAGAAGTGATTGTGGCATTGCCATCCCCCTCGGAGTGATTTCTTGCTTTCTGTCTCTGTCTCTTTCTGCCTTTCCAGCATGCATACATACCCTATAGCAAAAATCTCTCTCTTTAAAAAAAAAAAAATTACTTAATTTTATGTATTACTATTTTTAATTTGCTTCTGGGCACGTGTGCTCACCAGAGAAGGGCAGGGGGAGAGAGAGAGGTAAGGAAGCAAGTTGCCAGGTCCAGGACTCTTGGTTGGCCATGTGGGAGTCTAGTACCTTAACCACCACACCACCTGCTGGCCACCAAGTATATTATTCCTAAGATAAATAACGAATGATCTAAAACATGAAATTCAGAAAACAATTCCATTTACAGTAGCATCTAAAAGAATAAAATTAGAGTAAATTTTAAAAAAGGGTATATGCTTTTTTTAAAGAATTATTTTATTTTATTATTATTATTTTCTAATATGCTATAGGACATGTGTACTTAACCAGAGAGAGAAAGGGAAAGTGAAAAAGCAAGCCACCAGGTCCAGGACTCAAACTACGGTTGACCATGTGGGAGTCTAGCGCCTTAACCGCTACGTCACTTGCTGGCACCAAGGTGTATGTCTTTACACCAAGTACTGCAGATATCATTGAGAGAAATTAAAGAAGACCTAAATAAATTAGTTAATTTTTTTGAAAGACATAATATTGGTAAGATGTTAATACTGCCCAAGTGATCTAAGATTCGGTACAACCCTATCAAAATCTTAGCTGTCTTTTTTGCATCAGTTGACAAGTTGATCCTAAAATTCATATAGAAAAGTAAAGGACCCTAAATGTCTGAAACAATCCTATAAAAGGAGAAAAAAGTTGGAGGACTCTTATTTCCCTATTTTAATAGTTATTGTAAGACTACAGTAATCAAAACTATGTGGTCCCAGCACCAAGACACACATAAAAATCAGGGGGATAGAATTGAAAATCCAGAAATAAACTCTTATATTTGCAGTCAGCTGATTTTTGACGTATGTGTCAAGACATCTCAATGGGAGAACACTAGTCTTTTCAATAAATGGTGCTAAGACAACTAGGTATCATATAGAAGTATGAAGTTGGATTGCTACCTCTTCCTGTACACAGAGACTAAATTAAAATGTATTGAACACCTAGGTAGAAGAGCTAAAACTATGAAACTTTTTGGAGAAAACATAGTAACTTTTTGTGATTTTTGGTTAGGCAATGGTTTTTTTTAGATGGGACACCTAAAGTACAAGCAACAACAACAAAAAAATAGATAAATTAGTTTTCATCAAAATTAAAGACTTCTGTTCCTTAAAGCACACCAGGAAAAAGGTAAAAAGAACAACCTACAGAATGGCGGGAAATATTTACAAATCATGTTATCTGATAAGGAACTTGAGTCTAAAATATGCAAAGAATAAAAAACTCTTAAAATTGAATAATATAAAACAAATAATCCAAAATAGGCAATAGATTTGAAAATATATCTTAAATGACAAACACAGCAGCAGATGTCATATTCTCATTCTTGTCCCCTTGTTCTTTTTTAATTTTTTTTTCTGCCTTAGGGTGTGTGTACTCACTGGAGAGAGGGAGAGACAGAGACGATGAGAGGGAAAGTGAGAAATCAACCCCCAGGGGGGATGGCCATGCTGCCATCCCTTCTCCATTCTCCTCCTGGCATCTTGGGCACACTTTATACACATGCCTGGTGTGAATTTCAAGCCACCAGGTCTGGGATTCGAACCATGGTCGGCTATGTGGGAGTCCAGCAATATAACCACTATGGCATCTGCTCACCTTATCTGCCTTGTGTTTTTTTGCTCAGCAATAATTTGTTCTTGTTTAAGTACTACTATTGATATAATTCCAGGGTCTTTTAAATGTTAAGTTCTTGCTTTTCTTTCCTTCCTTTCTTCCTCCTTCCTTTTCTCCTTCATTTCTTTCTTCCTTCTTCTTTCTTTCTTTCTCTCTCTTCTTTCTCCCTTCCTTCCTTCCTCCCTTCCTTCCTTCCTTTCTTCCTTCCTTCCTTCTTTCCTTCCTTCCTTCTTTCCTTCCTTCCTTCTTTCCTTCCTTCCTTCTTTCCTTCCTTCCTTCTTTCCTTCCTTCCTTCTTTCCTTCCTTCCTTCCTTCCTTCCTTCCTTCTTTTCTGGAACTCAAACCATACAGCTAGCACTGTGGGATCCAGCTGCCTTAATCACAGTTTTTTGAGTGTATCTGCCTGTCTCAAGTTACAGGTGCTTTTGGGGCCAGCAGATGGCATAGCGGTTACATTGCTGGACTCCCACGTTGCTGATGGCAGTTTGAGTTCCGGCCCTGGTGACTTGAAAATCATGCCAGGCACATGTGTGTGCGTGCCCAAGATCCTGGGAGGCGAACAGAGGAAAAGGGACTGTGGTGTGGCCACTCCCCCAGGAAGGGGAGATTTCTTACTGTCCCTCTCATTGTCTCTGTCTGTCTCTGGTGAGTGCACGCACTATAAGGCAAAAACCTCTTTAAAAAGTGACAGGTGCTTTTATAGTGAGGTCAGTAGTTAGGAATGTGGTAGGGAGCAACCCAGAGAATTGGGAGCATGTAGAAAGTGTAGACTCCTCTTCTGCCAAGTGTCACGTGCAGCCATGCAGGAGAAGCAGACGACAGGCATAGGACCTGCTGTTTCTTTCTTTCCTTAGTACGGTACAGCGTAGTGCCATGCCGTAGCCAGCAAGCTGTCATGACATCAAGTACTGCAGCAGAGAGAAGGCAGTGTAGCACTCTGGCTCTTAGCAATAGCAGCCACAGCCCCTTATAATTAATATCCACTTCATGCTTAATTCTTCCAGAGCAATGGAAGTGAGAACATACGCTCCTGCCATCACATATGCTCCTGTATCACAGATAAATGCTATGTGCATGGAAACTGATAGAAAAGTGTATTTATGGACATTTTTCTTTAAAAGACCAGTAGTAAACATGTCTTTAAAATCGAGCCAAACAAATCTCAGATCTTTATGCTGGGGAGAACAAGATGAGAATGACATTTGTGGACTCCTGTATAATTTTTCTGGAATGCAGTTTGGTAATGTATATCCAGAACCCTAATATTCATATCCTTTGGCACTATCCTGTGTAGATAATAAAGACGTAGATAGTCAGCAATGAAAATTTTCAACACTGGAGAAGTAGTTAAATAATATCCAGTATATTATCATGATAGAATTCTGTGGAGTGATTTTATTTATTTTTTATTTTTTGGAGAGGTTTTTGCTACAGGGCACATGTGCTTGCCAAAACAACAGAGGAAAAAAAAAATAGGACCAGCAGTTAGCATAATGGCTATGTCGCTGGACTCCCACGTAGTCAACCGTGGTTCGGGTCTTGGACCCGGTGGATTAAACTCATGCCGGGTGCATGTGCGTATGTGCCCAAGATCCCGAGAGGAGAATGGAGGAGAAGGGATTGCGGCGTGGCCATTCGCCCTGGGGGGTGATTTCTCGCTTTCTGTCTCTCTCTGTCTGGCGAGTGCACCCGCCCTATAGCAAAAACCTCTCCAAAAAAAAAAAAAAAATGACAAAGGGGGAAAAAAAGTGAGAAGTCACTGCCCCCTCCCAGGGGGATGGCCACGCTGCAATCCCTTCTCCTCTCATGAACCTGGGCATGCACACACACATGCCCAGCGTGAATTTAAGCCACCAGGTCCGGGACTCGAACTGCGGTCCACTACCTGGGAGTCCAGTGATGTAGCCATTATGCCATCTCCTGGCCCCGATTTTCTTTTTTTTTTTTTTCAATAGCTCCTGATAGCACAGGGAAAAAAAATATAAGACGTTAGCCAGAAAATAAAGTAAAACTACTTTGATAGAAGATCAGAAGGCACTAAACATAATTGTAAGGAAAGATGTTATGGTAGCCTTATGAAACTTAGCTTTTTTTTTCAATTTTACTAGAAGGCATGTGTTCTTGTTAGAGAGAGAGAGAGAGAGAAGGAAGGGAAGAGATAAATGAGAAAGTACCCACCATGGAGAAAGGTTATGCCACAGTTCTCCTCTGTCTCTCTCACCTGTTGGGATTTGGGGCATGCATACATACATGGCCCGATGTATTTTCCAAGCTGCCAGGTCTGGGACTTGACCCATGTAGTTGGTCCTGTGGGATCCAGCTACCTCAACCATTATACCTCTGATGTGTCCTGCTTTTATTTTCATTGTACAAAAATGCATAGCAAAATTGACCATCATAAATACATAGTTCAGTGTAGGAGCGTTGTTGGAACTGCTTGTCTTGCAGACTCGAGCTCTGTACCAGTTCACACTAATTCCCACCCCTCCCTTTCGCCCAGTCATCAACAACCACCTTTCTCCTTCTCTGTGGTTCTCCTACTCATGTGAATGGAGTCCTACAGTACTTGTCCTTTGGTGACTGCCATATTTCACTTAGCACTTCCTGGAATTTCCCATGCCGTAGCCTTCTTTGTCGAGGCTACATAGTATTCCATGGTATGTATAGAACACATTTTCTTTGTCCATTCATCTGTCAATGGATACTTGGATTTTTTTCCACCTTTTGGCAGTTGTGTGATGCCTCTGCACATTCATGTATGATTGTCTGTTTGAGTCCCTGCTTTCACTACTTTTGGTTACATACCCAGAAGTGGAATTGCCAGACCATATGGTAATTCTGTGCTTAATGTTTCGGGGAATTGCCGTAATGCTTTCTACAGAGATTGCCTTAATGTACACTTCTTTCTTTTAAATAGAAAAGCTGTAAGATTCACAGAAGGAATTTCTACATCCACTTAAACTATATTCACCAGTTGTCTACATTTTGCCCCATTTGGGTTATCATTTTTCCTCACTTCAGCTGCATATGAGGGGGTCTTCAAAAAAATTGATGGAAAATACATATTATGAAAAAACTCAGCATGGATTTTAAAATGTTTTTGGCACCAAAATAAATTTTTAGGTTTTTTGTGCTGGTTCTTATTTCATGAACTTTTTGAAGTCACCTTAATGTGCATCTACAGTGTGTATGTAATATGTGTCCATGTGTATGTGATGTGTGTAATGTGTACACACACGCGCACACACTGTGGGTGCATATTGGTGTTGAGCTGTTGGGAGTACATTGAAGACATCGTGTTCCTTTACCACTAAATATTTCAGTGTATTTGTTAGGAATGCACTCTCTCATATAACCACAGTACAGCTGTTAAAATGAGTTAATTTGACACTGATAAAATAGTCATGCTACTTTATAAATCAGAAAGTAAATGAAAAAATAATTAAGATAGACCTTTTTTTTTTTTTTTGAGAGGTTTTTGCTATAGGGCATGTGCACTCGCCAGAAAGACAAAGAAAGACAGAGAGAAAGCGAGAAATCACCTCCCTGGGGGGGAGTAGCCATGGCGCAATCCCTTCTCCATTCTTCTCTCGGGATCTTGGGCACTCACGCGCGCGCGCGCGCACACACACACACACACACACACACACACACACATACCCCGCGTGAGTTTAAGCCACTGGGTCTGGGACTTGAACCGTGGTTGACTACATGGAAGTCCAGCGACATAGCCATTATGCCATCTGCTGGTCCCAAAATAGACTATTTATTTGAGGCCAGTGTTCAGTGAATATTGCGGTAGACATTAATTTGTGTTTATTTTTTTAAAGGGAGAAGTTTGTTAGAACTTGGAGGAAACAATGCCATTATTGGTAAGGTTGCCATTTGTTTTGTTTTGTTTTTTCTTCTCTTTGGAATATCCTTGGTAGCCATCCCTAATACATAGAGCTTGTTTCAGAATCATCCCTTTTACATTGTGCGTGCTTTTGATCTAACTCTAAGAGTGCAGCTCTTTCCTTATGATGAGGCAACTGAGGCTTAAGAAGTTAGAATCACACAACTAAAAAGTGATGGGGTGGAGACAAAGTCTGGTTTGTTTGGTTGCACAAGCCCTCTTAAGTCTACAACACTGTTAAAGAGGGAAAAACTGAACTTGTCAGAGGAACTTATTTCTAGAAGGTATACAAAGGGAGGAATTATAAATAGTATAAAGGAAGGATTAACCTTATAAAGATTATGCTAATTTTTTTCTTCTGAGGGCAGGAGAGGAGGAAGGAATAGATAAAAGTAGAATTTACAGATGACTTTGCTTTGATCTCTTCAGCGTAGCAGAGGAAGTGGGGAAGGGCCTTGTGCTTGAATACTTTGAGATTTTTAGTGGAGGTTGAGGTCATGTGGTGCAAGAGTAGAGAGCGGAGGTTTCTGTTGAGGTTTGAACAAGCTTCTGTTGTAGGTCATTTTACAGTTTTTAGGTTGGTGATTGGAAAAGGAAGGTTTGCTGAGATCAGCAAGGGAATGTACTATCATAGAGATAAGGAAGCTTAATATACATCACAAAGATACTGTGCCAGGGGCAGGATGTAGGGAGACTCCTGTTATCAGTGGATCAAAATGGTCTGTTAATGTTTGTGGGCATGACTCCCTCCAGGCTCTCCAGAAGGGATTTTGCAAATAGGGAAAAGCAGTCAGACTTCTGTCTTCACCAAGAATGATGATCTTGGAGAGGAGACCTCAGTGAGGTTACGTGGAGACCAAGAACCTGCGAGCTGAAAGATGAAGGCAGGAGAGAGAGCCTCAGTTCACCTGTGTATGTGGGTGAAGATACCGAGCTCATTGCTCCGTCCTCATACACTCTTCCCTGGAGGAAAAGTGTGCCTTCCCCCTAACGAGTACATGCGCCTCTTACAATGAGACTTTCGGTGGTGTTTTTAGCCCACCTTCTAATGGGCTTTTTTAATACCAGCTAGAACATTCCCTGTCTGCACTCACCGCACTAATGGGTGTGTTTGTGCTTCTCTCAGTCTTTGAGGACGCCGACCTCAGCTTAGTTGTCCCGTCAGCTCTCTTCGCTGCTGTGGGGACAGCCGGCCAGAGGTGTACCACTGCCCGACGGCTGGTGAGTCTTGCTCTTTTGAAATTATTATTATTTTTACATAAAAGAATTGTACATTATCTGGGAGGTATAATGTGATTTTTCAGTATAAGAACACAATGTGGGTTGATTAAGTCAGAGCATTTTGTGTCTCCATTTGGGTTTTTCCTCTCATTCAAAATGAATATGAGCAAATTCTTTATAGGATTGCTATAACCTAAATTAATTTGAATAAGATAAAAGACGTGAAAATGGAGTCTGTACTTTGATCACTTTTTTAAAAAAGAATGATTTTTTATTTAATTCCATTCATTATTATAATTAGTATTATTATTTTAATTTCACCAAATTGAGAGAGAGAAAGGGAAAACAAGGAAGCAAGGTGCCAGGTCCAGGACTTGAACCATGATTGGCCATGAGAGAATCCAGCACCCTTAACCACCACACCACCTGGTGACCCCCTTTTATCCCTTTTTTATAGTGATTATTTTTCCTGTGTTTTACAACAAATGAAAATTAATCTTTCCTTTATTTTTACATTATTCAGTTAAAGTTCTTAAAAAAAAACCTAAGATGGGGACCAGCGGATGGCATAATGGTTTCGCCACTGGACTCCAATGTAATTAACCACAGGTCAAGTCCAGGACCCAGTTTGTGTGCATGCGTGCCCAAGATCCTGAGAGGAGAATGGAGGAGGGATTGTTGCTTGGCCATCCTCCCCGGGAGGGGTGATTTCTCGCTTTTTTTCTGTCTCTGTCTCTCTGGAGAGCACATGTGCCCTGTAGCAAAAATCTCTCTTAAAAAATAAAGATGATATTCATAAAATTTTTATAATTTATTATTTGTTCACCATAAATATAAAATTATGTTAAAAACAAGAAGAAACAAGGGCACTCCAAATGATTACTCTGTTAATTATATGGTAAAATACAAAGTGACATTGGGGCCAGCAGGTGGTGTGTTGTTTAAGGTGCTGGAATTCCCACATGGCCGACCACAGTTCAAGTCTTGAACCTGGCAGCTTGCTTTTTCTCTCTCTCTCTCTTTCTCTGGCAAAAACCCATGTGAAAAAATAATAAATGAATAAGTGAATAAAATAATTAAAAAAATATATAAAGTGACATGAAAGGCAAGTGTTGCTCTATTTAGTCAACTCTTATTTTTCCTTTGTGTCTTGGAACAGATATATGTAGGCCTGCTTTATATTAAGTGTTAATTTTGTGTTTTAGTCTTTAGTTTTCTTTTTTTTTTTCCTTTTTCTTTTCTTTTCTTTTTTTTAATTTTGGAGAGGTTTTTTTGCTATAGGGTGCGTGCGCTTGCCAGAAAGACAGAGAGATACAGAAAGCGAGAAATCACCTTCTGGGGGGGATGGCCATGCCACAATCCCTTCTCCTCCATCTCCTTTTGGGATCTTGGGCGTGCGCGTGCGCGCGCGCGTGCGCGCGCACGCACGCACAGGTACACACACACACACACACACACACACACACACGCCCGGCGTGAGTTTAAGCCACTGGATCCGGGACTCAAACCACAGTCAACTACATGGGAGTCCTGCAACATAGCCATTATGCTAACTGCTGCTCCCACCATTTACTTATTTGAGAGGATTTTGCCTGAGGGGGCGTGCATTCTTGGGGGTAGAGGATAGGTGATAGAGGGGGACAGAGACAGTGAGAGGGAAAGTCAGAAATCTTCCCCCAGGAGCAATGGCAACACCACAATCTCTTCTCCATTCTCTTCCTGGGATCTTGGGCATGCACACACATGCATTCACCGTGAGTTTCAAGCCACTGGGTCCAAATTTGAACCACAGTTGGCTATGTAGAAGTCCAGTGACATAACTACTATGCCACCTGCTGACCCAACCCCTCTTTAGTCTTTATTTTGTTTGATTAAAAAATCCTGGAACTTTTTTTTTTTTTTTTTTAGTAGAGGATGTTTGAAAAAAAATTTTTTTTTAATAATTTACATTTAATTGTACATCTTTGTGGAGTCTTAGTGTTAAATATTAAAGGATACTATTAGTCATTGCCAAATCTATTTCCATAGGGACAGTTAGCTTCCATGTAGGAAAATTACATTCCAGCTCTATGAAGCTCTCTCTGTGACCAGTTCTAATAATGCTAACTCATTTGCTATAGGGAGACTAAGAAGAGAATGAGTGATTTGGCAAGTTCACTTCTGTCACTAGGAACATGGCATGAGTGCATATCCTAGCCAGAGTAGGTGTGAAGGTGGTCCTCACCTGCTTAAGGCTTCACTCTGGACCCTGCATGGCCTAACGCTAAGTGCATGTGTTTATCCAGCAGAGGGCGGCTGGGCCAAACTGTTGTGGTCCAGAGATTCACACTCTGGTATAGGACAGGTGTTTTGAACCTAATAAAGACATCAGGTGCCGTAGAACAAAAATAGGAAAAATGGATTTCTGAAGCAGAGCCAAGTAGATCTTCAGAAATTTGATAAAGATGTGGCTTACGATTTTCTTCTAACATTCACCTAGAGGAAGTTAGTATTTTCATGTAGTTAATATTAAGATTAGAAATGATATAATTAAAAAAATGCTTCTCTTTGTTTATGTTTTCAGAAAGTATACTGTTTTGATAACTATTAAGAATTATTAACCACTAGCATTAAAATTATTTGTTGTTTAAACATTTGTATATTCATTTTCCCATTCCTTTGGTTGGTTCTTTTTTTGCTTAGTTTTTACATGAAAACATCCATGATGAAGTTGTAAACAGACTTAAAAAGGCCTATGCACAGATCCGTGTTGGGAACCCGTGGGACTGTGAGTATCTGATTCTGTTTTAAAAGGTATTCCTTTGTTTTGTAAATTACCAGAGTGCCTGTACCCTTACCCGAGAGAGAGAGAGAGAGAGAGAGAGAGAGAGAGAGAGAGAGGAAACCTCACAATGGGGGATGGTCATGCCATAATCCCTTCTCTGTATCTGTATTCTGTCGGGACTTGGACCACACGTGTATGCATGCCTAGTGTGTTTTGTAAGCCACCAGGACTAGAATTTGAGCCATGTGAGGTGCAGAGCACTGAAGGTCGACACTGTGGGGCCAGCCCAGATAATTCCTTTTCTTTATTATTATTATTCTATTTAAGTTTATTTATTTGTTTGTTTGTTTGTTTATTTATTTATTTGTTTGTTTTAATTTGTCCAGAGAGAGACAGAGGAGAGAGAGAGAGAGAGAGAAAGCAGGTCACTAGGTCTGGGACTTGAACCGTGATTGGCCATGTGGGAGTCCAGTGCACTTAAGCACCACGCCAGCTACTGCCCCTGATAATTCCTTTTTGATAGCTGGTGTTAAATGCTTCTGAACTTCTGTGTTTCGAGTATTTTCCCTCTTTCCTGAGAAGCCTGGAAATCAGGCCCTCACCTGATTAAGGTCTCATTCTGGATACCTGTGTGACCCGAGGCTACATGAAACAGTAGGTAGGCATTTGGGATGACACATCCGCTCCTAGGTTAGGATCCTGGGTGCCCGTTGTGGGCTGGGGATGAGACGAGGAGGACATGTTTAGGTAGGATGAGATTTGATGAGCATTTCTCTCTACTGCTGTTGTCCTTGTCCAGGTCACTATTGTCTCTGTCCTTGGGTGTCTGTGAGAGCCCTCCAGCTGATTTCCTGCTTCCACTGTTGCCTTTCCCCAGAACCAGGCTGATTATAATGTTTTTTTAAAATTTTGTTTCGTTTTTAAAAATTATTTAATTATGGGACCAGCAGTTAACGTAATGGCTATGTCACTGGACTCTCATGTAGTCGACTACAGTTCAAGTCCTGGACCCAGTGGCTTAAACTCAACACTGGGCGCGTGTGTATGCGTGCCCAAGATCCCGAGAGGAGAATGGAGGAGAAGGGGTTGTGGTGTGGCCATCCCCCCAGGGGGGTGATTTCTCACTTTCTGTCTATCTTCCTGGTGAGCACACGTGCCCTATAGCAAAAACCTCTCAAAAAATTATTTTTATTTAATTAATTTTAATTAATTTTATTTACTTACTTACTTATTTATTTATTTATTTATTTTTTGGAGAGGTTTTTCTCTATAAGGCGTGTGTGCTCGCCAGACAGACAGAGAGACATAGAGACAGAAAGCGAGAAATCATTCCCCAGGAGGGATGGTCACGCCGCAATCCCTTCTCCTCCATTCTCCTCTCGGGATCTTGGGCATGCACACACACGTGCCCGGTGTGAGTTCTAAGCCACCGGGTCCGGGACGTGAACCGTGGTCGACTACGTGGGAGCCCAGACATAGCCATTACGCTAACTGCTGGTTCCCTCATTCATTTATTTTAATTTGAGAGAGACAGAGAGGGAAAGTGAGAAAGCAAGTCACCAAGTCTGGGACTCAAACTATGGTCAGCCATGTGGGAGTGTCCAGCGCCTTAACCACCATGCTACCTGCTGCTCCCCGAACCAGACTGATTTTTTAATCAGATATTCATTCTTGCTTAAAACACTCCAGTGACTTCTCTGTAGTTTTGGGCTAGATCCTGATGCCTTTTTATTTCCTCTTCAGTGGGTCCCAGTCTTTCGATATCTGACACCTGCCCCTGCCCTGCCTGCCTTCCCACCAGCCCTCCTGAGCCCATTTGTCCTCCTGCTCCCTGAACTTCAGCCTCTTCAATCTTCTTCTTTTTAAAGTTTTATTTATTTATTTTAAAACTTAATTTGCTATAGGGTGCTTGCCACAGAGAGAGGGAGGGACAGAGAGAGAGAAACCGTAAAAAAATCATCTCCCAGGGGTGATGGCCACGCCACTGTAATCCCTTCTCCTCCATTCTCCTTTCAGAATTTTAAGTATGCGCACACACATGCTGAATGTGTTTTATTTACTTTAAAAAATGTGTTATTAAAAAAAAAAATGGGACTGGCAGGTAGCATGGTGGCTAAGGACGCTGGACTCCCACATGGCCAACCACGGTTCAAGTCCTAGACCTGGCGGCTTGCTTTCTAACTTTTTCTCTCTCTTTCTCTGTCCCTCCCTGATAAACTTAAAATAAGTAAATAAAGTTAAATAAAATAGTTTTTAAAAATTTATTATTTTTAATTTTTAATAGTTATTCATTTAACTTTATTTATTATTATTAGTCTTCGATTTGACCGAAGAGAGACAGAGAGAGAGAGAGAGAAAGCAAGCTGCCAGGTCCGGAACTTGAACCGTGATCATCCATATGGAACTTCAGTGCCTTAACCACCTTGTCAACTGCTGGCCCCTACCCAGAGTGTTTTCTAAGCTGCCAGGTCCAGGACTTAAACCATGTCGTCATCCTGTGGGATCTAGTTACCGTAACCACTACACCACCTGGCTGACCCTAAGTTTTATTTATTTATTCTGAATGAGAGAGAGAGAGATACAGCACCCCCACTAGGGTCTTAATGCTGAGATAAACCCCCTGCTTCAGCCGGCCTGGGTCACGTGCTTGTGTACCTGGTGTACTCAGGGAGGTCACTGGACACGAACCGAAACCTTCCCACGTTGGCCCACCTTGTAGAGCACTGTGTTTCACTGCGCAACCCTGTCTGGTCCTCTCCCATTTTCTTCCAGTGACCTTAGTGTTGCAGGCTCTGGCCTGCTGCTCTCTCAGATGGGAATTCTCCTCTTCCAGCTCTTCCTGCAGCCTGCCCTGCTAACATGCCGTCTCCTCTCAGAGGCTCGTCTAAATCTTCCCTCCTCTGTCCCTGTGCTCACCTCTAATGCCTTCGTGTCTAGTAGCCATAACCCAGGCCAGCATCAGTGTCTCCCCTTCAAATGCACTCCACTTCCGAGACTGGCATTTGTAGGGAATTATCACCCTGTAATGAGTAAATGAATGCTGTGTTTTTAATGCATGCTCTGATGAACTGATAGCCATTTCTCTAACCCAGGGGTTGGCAAATGGCCTGGCAACAGTGCTGGTGCCAGCAGGTGGCATGGTGGTTAAGACGCTGGACTTCCACATGGCTGACTGCAGTTTGAGTCCCAGACCTGGTGGCCTTCTCACTTTACTGTTCTCTGTGGTCAAATTAAAAAATAATATTAAATAAAATTAAACAAATTATTTTCTTTCTTTCTTTCTTTCTTTCTTTCTTTCTTTCTTTCTTTCTTTCTTTCTTTCTTTCTTTCTTTCTTTCTTTCCTTCCTTCCTTCCTTCCTTCCTTCCTTCCTTCCTTCCTTCCTTCTTTCTTTCTAGAGATTTTTGCTATAAGGCATGTGTGCTCACCAGAGAGACAGAGACAGAAAGGCAGAAAGCAACAAATCACCCTGTGGGGTGATGGCCATGCTGCAGTCCCTTTTCCTCCATTCTCCTCTCAGGATTTTGGGCATGTACACTTATGCACCTGGCATGAGTTTTAAGCTACTGAGTTCGGGACTTGAGCTGTGGTTGACTACGTGAGAGTCCAGCGACATAACCATTACACCATCTACTGTTCTCTAAACAAATACTTTTTTTTTCTTTGAGAGACAGAAATTTTTGCTATAGGGCATGTGTGCTCGCTGGAGAGACAGAGACAGAGAGGCAGAAAGCAAGAAATCACCCCCTGGGGGGATGGTCATGCCTCTCTAGTCTCTTCTCAAGATTTTGGGCATACTCCTGGCATATATTTTAAGCTGCCGGATCCAGGACTTGAACCCAGTTGACTACATGGGAGTCTAGTGACAACCATTATGCCATCTGCTGGTCCCTAAACAAGTAATTCTTTTATTTTTTTTAAAAGGTATATTTATTTTTAATGTTATTGTCATTATTCTTTGATTTTGACCAGAGAGAGACAGAGAGAAAGGGAGAGTGAGAAAGTAAGCAGTCAGGTCTGGGACTTGAACCAAGGTCAGCCATGTGGGAGTTCAGTACTCTTAACCACCACACCACCTGCTGACCCCATAAATAATTCTTTTATTTTTTTATAAATAATTTTATTATTATTATTTTAATATTTCCAGAGAGACACACACAGAGAGAGAGTGGGAAAGTAAGAAAACAAGCTTCCAGGTTTGGGACTTGAACCACAGTCAGGCATATGGGAGTCCAGCGCCCTAACCACCACGCCACCTGCTGTCCCCCCACAAATAATTCTTAAGAAAATAAAATAAAACGGTGCCACTGAGGGCAGAGTGATGAGCGCTCCTTCTCTCTCCAGCCGACGTTCTCTACGGGCCCCTGCACACCAAGCAGGCGGTGAGCATGTTTCTGGGAGCTGTGGAAGCAGCAAGGAAGGAAGGCGGCACCGTGGTGTGCGGCGGCCAGGTAAGGGCGCGAGGTCGCCGCAGCTCTGTTTACTTCCGTCCCTCGGGCACCTTGGCAGAGGGTCAACATGCAACTCCTTTCTTTCCTCGCCCCTATTATTATAAGGAGAGAAATACATATTTAAAAAAATAAAAAGACAATTAAAAAATGCATGAACTTTCTAGGAGGACACAAGAAATTGAGTCATGGCTGCTTTTATATTGGGTCCCTAGGACTTGGGATGGAAAGGAGAAGTCATTTCTACTGCGCAGAAGGCTTCATATTCAGAGCAGTTAGAATTTGCAGTTTTTTGGGGTCCAGCAGATGGCATAGTGGTCGTCACTGGACTCCCACATGGCTGACATTTGTTTGAATCTTGGACCTGCTGGTTTGAAAATAACGCTAGGTGGGTGTGCGTGCGTGCCCAAGATCCCAGAGGAGATTGAAGGAGAAGGGATTGTCATGTGGCCATCCCCCAGGGGAGTGATTTCTCACTTTCCCTGTCTCTGTCTCTTGACTCTCCAGCGAGCACAAGTACCCTAAGGCAAAAACCTTTTTAAAAAAGTATCTCTATTTTTGGGTTATTTTAGTTTGTTTATTTATTTATATTCATTCTTTTATTTTGAGAGAGACACTTCCCTAACCGTCTATGCCATGGCCCATCTGGTCTCAGCTGGCCCTAATCAGGGGCACATGTTCGGGATGCTGACTGGCTCTTGAACATGAACCCAGGCCCTTCTCTGTGGGTCCAGTTACATCACCACTGTGCTACTGCCTGGCCCCTATCGTTTATTTTTTTCATAATAAACAAAAAGTTTATTATGAAAATCTACCTGACCCGATTTTTACATCGTGTAAAAATGGGCCTGTTGCCAAGGGCACGTGGGTTTCTCTGAACAGCCGTTACTTGTACTCGTTCCAAGGCTCCTAACACGGCGATGCTATTCCTCGCATTACCACCATTCCAGCATTGTGCTGCTGCCCACTGGTTGCCATCTCCACACATCCACCCATCGCAAGAGTCATAAATGGATCGAATCCCCACGGTATTCCTTGGACGTGTCTGCCACCATTTATTTATTTATTTATTTATTTATTTATTTATTTATTTATTTATTTATTTATTTATTTATTTATTTATTTATTTATTTATTTATTTATTTATTTATTTATTTATTTATTTATTTATTTATTTATTTATTTATTTATTTATTTATTTATTTATTTATTTATTTATTTATTTATTTATTTATTTATTTATTTATTTATTTATTTATTTATTTATTTATTTTTTTGGCGAGGTTTTTGCTATAGGGTACGTGCACTCGCCAGACAGACACAGAGAGACAGAGAGATAGAAAGCGAGAAATCACCCCCCAGAGGGGATGGCCACGCCGCAATCCCTTCTCCTCCATTCTCCTCTCGGCATGTTGGGCACGCACGCTCACGCGCCCGGCGTGAGTTTAAGCCACCAGGTCTGGGACTCGAACCGCAGTCGAATATGTGGGAGTCCAGCGACATAGCCCTTATGCTAACTGCTGGTCCCTGCCAACATTTAGTTTTAATGATAACTTCTCGTCCATAAATTTCTTCAATTCGGGAGGGTGAGCTTTGCTCATGGTACCAACTCCGCAGGCTCAGAGACGCCTTTGAAGGGAATTCTCAGCCTCTTCACGTTCCCGTGGCAGGCCCGGCCCCTATCGTTTTTTTTTTTAAAGTTAGGGCCTACCACGGTGGTGAAAGTGGTAGGGCTCCATTGCACGATATTGGAGCCATGAGGTCAGCCTTGTTGTGCCAGGCGTGCCCTGAACCTCTTTGGCTGGGAGACTGGCAGGATTGTGGTGACCGGACCCTGTAATAGGTCCCCATCTGTCTCTTTCTCATTCTTTCTCACATGGGAGGGAAGGAAGAAGACATTTTAAAAGTCCGAGAATCAAAAAACTACATATATGTGAGCCAGAGAATGGGGTAGTGGTTCAGGAGCTAGACTCTCACATGGCCAATTATGGTTCGATCCCTGGATCTGGTGGCTTGAAACAAGCTGGCACGTGTGCGTGCGTACCCAATATCCCAGGAGGAGGTGGGAGGAGTAGAGGTTGTGGTGTGACCACCCACCCTAAAGGGTGATTTTTCACTTTTCCTCTCACTACCTGTCCGTCAGTAAACACACACACCCTATGGGAAAGAAAATCTTTTTTGGGGGGAGAGGTTTGTGCTATAGGGCGCTTGCATTTGCCAGAAAGACAGAGAGAGACAGAGAGACAGAAAGCGAGAAATCACCCCCGTGGGGGAATGGCCACACTACAATCCCTTCTCTTCCATTCTCCTCTCAGGATCTTGGGCATGTACACACACGCTCCCGGCGTGAGTTAAGCCACTGGGTCCAGGACTCAAACTGTGGTTGACTACATGGAAGTCCAGCAACGTAGCCATTATGCCATCTGCTGGTCCCAGCAAAAAATTTTAAAAGCATATATGTATTTTTAAAAGATTTTGCTAGAGAGCATCTGTGCTTGCTGGAGAGAGAGGAAAGTAAGAAAGCACCTCCGGTGGGGGATAGCCGTGCTGTAATCCCTTTCGTTTCTCCTTTTACAATTTTGTGTGTACACTCATATGTGTATGGCATCAAGCTGCCAGGTCCGGGACTCGAATTGCACAGTCAGCCAAGTGGGATCCCATCACTCTATCCACTGTGCCACCACCAACTAGTAAATATCAATAGTTCAGCATTTTATTTTAATTTAGCACATGTGACAATATCTGTGACGCTTCCTGGCTAAGGTGTTTTCTTCAGATGTGGCAGGAGAGTGTTGTCCTGATTTTTGCATAAGCTATACCTATAATTTATTATCTATAATTTAATTTCACTAAACTTACTGCCAAGCAATCAGGGCAGAAGCCTTCTGCAGTATCACCGTCAACACACTCTCATCTAATTGGACAAAGATGTATCTATCAATTTCAGTGTTTTTTGTTTTTTCACATATTACATTGTCTTTAAAGTATTCAACCTGACCTTTTAGAAATGCCCCTTTTCCCTTTGTATAATATTTATTTAAGTTTCACAATGCAGTATGACATTACACTGACAAATACAGCTGCCGTGCATAGGATTGAGAGTAAATACAGTTGATTCTTGGTAAACACATGGCTCAGGCTGACTGCAGAGTTTCAGAGGCACACTTGAGAGTGGATTGCTAGCCAGAAAGCTTCCTTTTTTTTTTTTTTTAATTTTTTTTTATTTTTTAGAGGTTTTTACTCTAGGTTGTGCATGCTCACCAGAAAGACAGAGAGAGACAGAGAAACAGAAAGCAAGAAATCGCCCCCGCGGGGATGGCCACACCGCAATCCCTTCTTCTCCATTCTCCTCTCGGGATTTTGGGCATGCACGCACACGCGCCCGGCGTGAGTTTAAGCCATCGGGTCTGGGACTCGAATCGTGGTCTACTACGTGGGAAGTCCAGTGAAATAGCCATTATGCTAACTGCTGGTCCCTAGCCAGAAAGTTTTCTAGAAGGAAAGACAACTGCTAGTTAAGTGGATGACCCCATGGAGGTTAGTTAAGAAATTACATTTGGAGTTACTGGTTTTCGTTCAGTGTGTAATGTCTCTCGGAACTGCCATGACAAAATACCACAGACTGGGTGGGTTAAACAGCAGATGTTTATTTTCTCAGTTCTGGAGTCCTGAGGCCCAAGATAGGGTGCTGGTGGGGTGGGTTTCTGGCGAGGCCTCTTTCTGGCTTGCCGATGGCTGATTCCTTGCTGTATCCTCACCTGACCTTCCCCAGAGCGGGGAGAGAATCTCTGGTCTCGTCCTCTTTTTAGAGGCTGTAGAGCTATTAGATCAGGGCTCTACCCATGTGACCTCATTACTCTTAATTACCTCCTCGAAGGTCCTAGATCCCGGTGTACTCACATTGAGGGGAGGTCTTAATGTCAATTCTGGGGAGACACAATTCAATCCTAAACAGTCTGGGTACAGATCACGTATCTTACAATGGTAGGGTTTTCTTTTTTAAAGAGATTTTTGCCGTAGGGAGTGTGAGCATGCTGGAGAGAGACAGAGAAAGTGAGAAATCGCCTCCTCCCCCCCCGGGGGGCGGGTGGCCACACCTCAGTCCCTTCTCCATTCTCCTCCTGGGGTCTTGAGCACGCACACAGTTCCCAGTGTGATTTTGAAGCCATTGAGTCCGGGACTCAAGCTGTGGTTGGCCATGTGGGAGTCTAGCGACAGAACCACTACACCATCTCCTGGCCCCAAATAATAGGAAATTTAAAACGACCACTTACAACAGTGCTGTTTTCAACATAACCTGGTCGTGACGTGGCATGGGGCTCAGTCCCTGCCTCCTCATTTTTCTCTAGTTTCCTCAGCCCAGCTTTAGCTAGAGTCAGTAGGAGGAAGAGAGCATTTTCTTTATGATAGGAAGTTATTTTTTTTTCTTTTTTTGGAGAGGTTTTTTCGCTATAGGGCGCGTGCGCTCGCCAGACAGACAGACATAGAGACAGAAAGCGAGAAGTCACCCCCCAGAGAGGATGGTCACGCCACAATCCCTTCTCCTCCATTCTCCTCTCGGGATCTTGGGCACGCACGCACACGCACCCGGCGTGAGTTTTAAGCCACCGGGGCCGGGACACGAACCACGGTCGACTACGTGGGAGTCCAGCGACATAGCCATTATGCTAACTGCTGGTTCCCATGATAGGAAGTTATTTTGAAGAAATAATTGACCTCTCAGTGCTATTTAGTTTTTCTCACGTGTGTAGGCAAAGATGAAGTTCTTTGACCCCAAGTTCGAGTGGGAAACAAAGTGTTTTCACGGTTTTTTATTTCATTTTCCTACCTAAGGTTATGGACCGTCCTGGAAACTATGTCGAGCCAACGATTGTGACAGGTCTTGCCCACAATGCGTCCATTGCACACACAGAGACTTTCGCTCCAATTCTCTACGTTTTCAAATTCAAGGTAAAAGTGGATTCTGCCTCTCTTTTCTCTGGTGTCTGCTGAACTAAATGATAAGGCTAGGGTGGGACGAAGGGAGGGGTTAGAAAGGCACTTGGAGCAGCAGAAACCTGAAGCTTGAAAATTTACGGAGATGAACGCTTCGTAACTATATAGATATATTCGAAGCTAGCTACCAGAAAAACCAAGAGGGGCTGTGGGCCAGTGTTGGAGTTTACAGAGTCTGTGCCCCTCACCGCCTGCGTCACCTTACTCTGAGCTGTGTGGGCCATCGAGGCAGCTTATTTGAGCCCGGTGACTGGACGGGTCTATGGCCCGAGTGCTGCGTGTGTGTCCGCACAAAATGAGGAGACGTGGGGCCACCTGAAGGCCTGCAGCCACCAGCATCAGCGGACAGGCTGTGGAGGTGTTCTTAGGGTGGTTTTTTTTTTTAATTTAATAATTATTATTATTATTTAATTTATTTATTTTTTAGGATTTTGTCATAGGGCGGATGTGCTGGCCAGAGAGGAGAGAGACAAAGGGGAAGTGAGAGATCATCCTCACACCCCAAGGCAGATGGCCACACCACATTTTCCTTCTCTTCCACTCTCGGGATTTTAGGCAACATGTACATATGCCTGGTGTGATTTTCAAGTTGCTGGATCCATGACCTGAAACATGGTCATCATGCGGGAATCCAGTACCCTAACCACCATGCCACCTGCTGGCCCCAGGTTTTAGCAGATGAGGGTAAATAGAAGGCCTCACTCCCCAGCATGAGCGAGGCCTGAGCTTTGCCAGCAAGTATGCAGCTTCGTTTAGAGACTGCAGGGATTCACTTAAGTTTTGAATGTGCCATTCTTTTTTTTTTTTTTTTTTTAAATTTATTTATTTACATTCATTCACTGTACATCATTACAACATGCAAAATGAGATTTTCCATCCAGATTACACTGTATATTGGTTCAATCAAGCACATCAGCATACATGTTATCATCAACAAATAATTTTCCATTTCTTATTTCCTAATGTTTTTCTTTTTTTGATTCCCTACCTCTTACCCTCTGCCATCTCCCACTCTCCTCCCACATTGTCTCTGGTATCTATACTTGCTT